GCCCGGGAGGGGGGCGGGGAGGTGGAGAGTGAGTCACTTTGGGGCTGGCTGGGGACATGGAGTGAAGTGCAGACGTGGTTGTCTGGCTCACTGCCCCCCAAAATGGACCTAGGTGAGGGGTCCTGTTCTTTGCACCTACAAGCTCTGTTTTAGACCATGTTCCTGTCATCTAATAAACCTTCTGTTTTACTGGCTGGCTGAGAGTCACGTCTGACTGCAGAGTTGGGGGTCAGGACCCTCTGGCTTCCTCAGGGCCCCACCAGGGCGGACTCACTATGGGAAGCACATGGAGGGGCAGAGGATGCTGAATGCTCCGAGGTCAGACCCAGGAAGGTGGAAGCTGTGTGAGCTGTGTGTCCTGCAGACAGGCTGCTCCCAGAGAGGAGACTTCCCCAGAGTCCTGCCTGGCTTCATAGGGAGCAGTTCCAGAGCAGCGCCTGGGGACTCCGTGACACCACTATGACGTTCTTGACATAATCTGGGACCGCATAGATCATCGTTGCAACCAAGGTCCGGTAGTGGCACCAAATCTTATGTAAAGGGGGTCAAATGAGGTGTCTAAGACAAGGTTATGATTTGCAGGTTATGATTTTGCTGTCTATATGTGTGTATCATTTGGTAGTTGAAGTTATGAATATTGTCTCTATACTGTCTGTATTTCAAACTTATGCTGTGCTTCTGGGTGACACTCCAGACAAGTTTTGTCAGCTCTGCTTAGCCTGCTTGATGGCCCATTAAGGACCATCAGCGATACAATTGACCCATTGCGAGAAGGCAGATACGCCTTGGGACTCAGCAAGGTGTGCAGGGACCTGCCTAGGGACAGAGCTCTGAGGTTTTTTCAGGCCATGTGCTGGGCAGCTTGTCTTTGGGACAAAGAAAGCAGAGACCACATGGCAAGAGACTATAAAAACCTGCTGCAGCTCCTCCATCTTGTCTTCAATCCTGCTTCATACCTCGGGAGGGACTTTGCTACACTGAAGCTTTGAACCAAGGACTGATGACCCATCCCAGCTGTGGATGTTCTCCAGAGACTTGATTTGAACCTGCAGCTTATTCCATCACTGCTGCAAGCCTGAACCAAGAACTTGGCCATCACTGTATGTCATTGATTCCATTTAACCTATTCTAGCTCTCATCTCTATCTTTTTCCTTTTATGAATAAACCTTTAGATTTTAGATTCTAAAGGATTGGCAACAGCGTGATTTGTGGGTAAGATCTAACTTGTATATTGACCTGGGTCTGGGGCTTGGTCCTTTGGGATTGAGGGAACCTTTTTTCTTTTACTGGGGTATTGGTTTTCATAACCATTCATCCCCATAACGAGTGGCACTGGTGGGGATACTGGGAAACTGGAGTGTCTCAGGGAATTGCTTGTGTGACTTGTGGTTAGGCAGTGGGGTCTTCTCTGTCTGTCTGGTTTGGTTTGCCTTAGAGGTGGAAAAACCCCAGTCTTGGGCTCTAACTCCCTGCTTTAAGCAATTTGTCCTGCATTGCCACTCTCCGTTGGGTCCCACCAGAACCAGCATCGTTACAACCATTTCTCTGTAGGGCCCCGTGCCCACAGCAAGGCCAGGGGCTGAGAGTCTCAGGGTGGGGGCAGTCACTGCCAGCCTCAGGGCAGGGTCTCCCTTTCCCCAGGAAGGGGACCACTTGCGGGTCTGGGTGCCCCCAGCCGGAGGATGTAAGGGGGGGCTGGTCGGCAGCTCCGGGCCGTGCCCTAGGCTACGCAGCCCAAAGCCTTGGACAAAACATTCGTCTCTGCCCTCCTGGGGAGGCCTGGCTGGGGCCCAAGGGTGTCTCTGGTCCTGATGTCCCCGGCTTTGCCCTCCCTCGTCCCGCTCCCTCTCCAGGAGTGGAGCTGGCAGCCCAGCTCCTGTCAGTCTGGGGGGGGCGTGTCCCTGGCACGTCCCCTCTCACTGCTCATCAGACCCAACTGTCCTAATGAGCTGCAGCCCCTCTGGAGCCGGTAGCTTTGGCTTTCTCCCATTCCCCACCTGCAAAGCCCAGGCTCCTCCCCCATGGGGCACCTTTATGATTATTGTGTCGGTTACTCCTGGGCCAAGGGACCAGCCTGGAGCAGGGCCCCAATGCGCTAGGCGCTGTACAAACCCTGAGCAGCGACAGTCCCTGCCCCACATAGCTTATACGCTCAATGGAAGAGCCAGAACCAGGTCAGGGCCAGGGCGTTCTGCACGAGCAAAGCGACTGCGGTGTGTGGGCCAGGATGTTTGATTTTTCCCTCTGTTGGCAAGGGGGGAGCTGAGCGGGGAGGGGACCGAAACCTTGGCCCCTGTCTGAGGAATTGCCAGCTGGGTCTTTCATTTTCCTCCTTGTGCCACTGGCTCCTGGGGCACCTGGCACCCCATGCCCTCCCCAGCAGGGTCAGGCGTTTCCAGCTGGCATGTGCCAGCCACTGCCTGCCAGGGCTCAGGCAGGAACGGCCCCAGTGGATCTGGTTCCCAGGCCCCACGCCTCCGGCGAGCGCTGCTGGGGGCCGGGGCAGAACAGCGTGGAGCTGGGAAGCCGCCATCTGACAGGCATTAACGTTTCCGGAGCATTTCCAGCCCCAAGCGCGGCCCGGGGCCCTGGCCGCCACCGCGCTCCCCGGCTGGAGCCTTTCTCCAAGGGAGAAGGGGAATGTTTGGACTCCAGCCCCAGGAACCTCGGGCCAGCGCCGGGGAGGGGTGGAGGGACGAGGCTGTGTGAACGCTGCAGCCCCAGCCAAGAAATTTTCTCTGCTAATGCTGCCAGGAGCCAAGTAGAAACATCTGCCAGGGAGGAGCAAGGCTTGGGGAGCCGCACAGGGACGGCCGGGGCGCGCTGTCCTTGCTTTTCAGGGGCCTTCCTCCTGTCCTGGGTGCACACAGCTCTTCTGGCTCCTGCTGGCTCAGGCCCTTTACAGTGGAAAGAATAACCATGCCCTGGAACAGTGGCTCACCGCGTTCCGGGGGTCACTTTGCCAGCCCAGCCCTCTTGGCCACTGCCCACGGCCTCTTTCCTCAGCCGGGGCAACTTGTTTCCTCTCCTCCATTCTCAGATAATGGTCAGATCCAGCGTATCCAGCTCCCTGGGGGTGGAAGGTCCCATCTAGGCCCAGGCTGTGGCTCTTCCAGTGATGAATGCAGCTGAGTCTGGGTGTATGTGCAGGGAAGAGGATTCTGCATGTGGCAGAGGAAAAGCCAAGCGGTGTCAGAGCTGGCCTCTGCAGTGGCCACCACTGGCCCTTCCAGGCTGTGTGTGAGCCCTAAAAACCCCTCTCTCCCCCTGCAGGCAGTGCTGGGTCTTCTATGTTCCCACGTCCCAGAGACCCCCCCAAAGACAAGCCTTAGCAGGCCGGGCTGCAGTTCTGAGCTGCATGCTCTCACCACCGTCTGTCCCCCATCGAGCCGGGGAGCCAGTTCTCCCTGCACCCTGGTTGCACGCCAGGCTATCCCTGCTGCCTGGCCCCTGGCCTCGTCCGCCTGGCCCCCGCCCGCGGCTCTCAGCAGTCATGGCAGCCCCGGTTCCCTTGCGCATGCCGTGACTCAAGGGCACCGGCTGCCTTTTCATTAGCACCATCTCTGCAAAGTGCTGCATTCAGCAGGTGCGTTCAGCGCCCACAGCCACGCGTACCCCCACCGGCTCTGACCCCACGCAGCATCCCCGGGGAGCCAGCAACAGTTCCTCCTGGTTCCTCTTTACTTGGGTGAAAGCTGACACTTACGGTAAATTATTTATGCTGCAGCTAAGAGCTTTGTGTGGGCTTTGCCTGGTCCCCCCCCCCCCGGTATGGCACAGCTCTGCCAGGGCACAGAGCCCTGTGCAATGCCAGCCCTGGGCTGCCTGGCACACAGCTCTGCCGGTGCCCCTCAACCCCGACCCGCAGCCTCCTGTTACCCCAGCTCTGGGCTCTCCCCAGCTCTGCCGATGCCCCCAGCCCTGACCCACAGCCCCCTGCTATCCCAGCCCTGGATTCCCCCCAGCTCTGCCGATGCCTCCAACCCCGACCCGCAGTCCCCTGCTCCCCCAGCTCTGGGCTCTCCCCAGCTCTGCCGATGCACCTCAATCCTGACCTGCAGCCCCCCTGTTATCCCAGCCCTGGGCTCCCCACCCACAGCTCTGCCGGTGCCCCTCAGCCCCGACCCACAGCCCCCTGCTACCCCAGCCCTGGGCTCTCCCCAGCTCTGCTGATGCCCCCAATCCCGACCCACAGCCCCCTGCTACCCCAGCCCTGGGCTCTCCCCAGCTCTGCCGATGCCCCCAATCCCGACCCACAGCCCCCTGCTACCCCAGCCCGGGGCCTGTCCTCAGCACTCTGATTGTTTGGTTAAACTTTCCTACGTTCCAGCGCCTTTGCCGTGCCGGGGGCTCTTGTCAGAAATGTGATGCACAATTGCCCAGGTACCCGGGGGACGGGCCGCACACGGGATTAGCCTATCTTAGTAGAGCCAAGGGCACTACCTGGGCACAGGGGAGAACATGAGGGCCTGGGCTGCTGCCATGGAGGTTTCCATGCCCAGTGTCTACTCCGGACCCAGGCTGTCACGCGCTGGGTCTTCGTCCTGTTTGGAGGGGCTGACTGGTGCCTTATGGGCTGTTCCCCTGCATCCGGCTGGGCACTCCCCCGGCTACTCCCACAGAGATGCCCAGTGGAGGGACTCCCCCAGTCCCCCCAGTGGGACAGGAGCACAGGGAGCTGCGTGGGACCTCCCAGCAGGGATGGCGGAGTTGGCCCCCATTGCCATCCTGCAAGGCATGCACCAGCCCTGCTCGCTGAGAGGGGGACCCAGGCACGATCCACATCCTGGCCTCTTCCCTCCCGCCCCGAGGCACGGGACGGCCAAACCATCCCCACCGCTGTCCCGATGGCCACACCCGGTCGCCCACCCCTTCAAATTAGCCCCTGGGTGCTTTCCCCCACACTGCCCCTCACCCCTGGGGGCAGCTCCCCATAAACACCCGCAAAGCCACCTTCTCCAGCTCCCGCCTTAAAACTCTCCTCTGCAGTGAGTGTGATGAAGTGGGACTGTTCTTAATGGTTCCTCTGAATAGTGTGGGGGTGCCTCAGTTTCCCCTAGGCAGTTCTTAAGTATCTAGGTGGTGGGGTAAGGGTGTATGATCCTTGCAGAGCCCTAGAGGGCAGGTGTGTGCAGGGGTCTGGACACAGACAATGGCCGACACCCTGTTTCCTGGCAACTGATGGCCTGAGCCCTTTCCCCCTGCAAGGTGAGAGCTAAAGGGTTGGAGAACAAAGGAATCAGGTGCCCTCCTGGCCCGGGAAAGGGACAAAGCCCAGAGGTGGAGGGGCTGGAGGGAGTTTCATTTTGGGGCTGGCTGGGACATGGAGTGAAGTGCACACGTGGTTGTCTGGCTCCCTGCCCCCCAAAATGGACCCAGCTGAGGGGTCCTGTTCTCTGCACCTGCAAGCTCTGTGTTAGACCATGTTCCTGTCGTCGAATAAACCTTCTGTTTTACTGTCTGGCTGAGAGTCACGTCTGACTGCGAAGTTGGGGTGCAGGACCCTCTGGCTTCCCCAAGACCCCACCTGGGCGGACTCGCTGTGGGAAGCGCACAGAGGGGCAGAGGATGCTGAATGCTCTGAGGTCAGACCCAGGAAGGTGGAAGCCGTGTGAGCTGTGTGTCCTGCAGACAGGCTGCTCCCAGAGAGGAGACTTCCCCAGAGCCCTGACTGGCTTCGTGGGGAGCAGTTCCTGAGCAGCACCCGGGGACTCCGTGACAGTGAGGCCTACACAACACCTGCTGTGGCCACACCACAGCTAGCCACGCTGACCAGCCCTGGCTCGTTGGTTCCCTGGGCTGCCCTGGCCAGCTGGCCGGATCCATCTGTGACGAAGTGGGACTGTTCTTAATGTTTCCTCTGAATAGTGGGGGGGTGCCTCAGTTTCCCGTAGGCAGTTCTTAAGTATCTAGGGGGTGGAGTAAGGGTGTATGACCATTGCAGAGCCCTAGAGGGCATGTGTGTGCAGGAGTCTGGACACAGAGAGCGGCCAACACCCTGTTTCCTGGCAACTGATGGCCTGGGCCCTTCCCCCCTGCAAGGTGAGAGCTGAAGGGTTGGAGAACAAAGGAATCAGGTGACCACCTGGCCCGGGAAAGGAACAAAGCCCAGAGGAGGCGGGGCTGGGGGGGGGTTTCAGTTTGGGGCTGGCTGGGACATGGAGTGAAGTGCAGACGTGGTTGTCTGGCTCACTGCCCCCCAAAATGGACCCAGCTGAGGGGTCCCGTTCTCTGCACCTGCAAGCTCTGTTTTAGACCATGTTCCTGTCGTCTAATAAACCTTCTGTTTTACTGGCTGGCTGAGAGTCACGTCTGACTGCGAAGTTGGGGTGCAGGACCCTCTGGCTTCCCCAGGAGCCCCGCCTGAGCGGACTCACTGGGGGGAAGCGCACGGAGGGGCAGAGGATGCTGAATGCTCCGAGGTCAGACCCAGGAAGGTGGAAGCTGTGTGAGCTGTGTGTCCTGAAGACAGGCTGCTCACAGAAAGGTGACTACCCCAGAGTCCTGACTGGTTCATGGGGAGCAGTTCCAGAGCAGCCCAGGGACTCCGTGACGACTGGTGGCAGGGTGGGATGTATGCACCCCGTGGATGGGTTCCTGCAAAGTGACTGGGAGAGTAACACGAAGGGGGTTGCCGAGACCAGGCCTGCTGAAGGCTCAGAAAGGAGCGGTTTCGGGGGGTTAACCCCTGGGAGGTGTACCAGCAGAAGGACGTGCAGTAATGGGGTCCCCTGGGGACTGCAGTGAGAGTCTCAGGGGCGGAGGAGTCGCAGCCGACCCTGGCAAAGAGGTGGTGACAGAAGGGCTGCACACAGGGGTTCTCCCTGAAACCGTGGGGAGCGAAACACACGGCCGTGAGTCCACAACAACTTGGGAGGAGCGGAGTGATGGCTGTCACCGTCTCCTTAAGAAGGACATTGTAACCCTGTGCAAAAAGAGGGTTGAGCGTTGGAAAGTTCACCAAAGCAGAGTCAATCGTGAGCTGGAGGAGGATGACTCTAAGGAACAGATTCTGACCCCAAATGGGCCTATAGCAGGATCTGGGAGCAGCTGGAGGGGAGCCAGGCAAAGACCCTGCCCGACCAGACGGGGTTTCACGATCGGTTCCCATCGGGGGATCGGAGAGGACGGGATTGGAGCTGAGTCTGAGAGAGCAAGAGGACCGGGAGACAGCGAAGCCGAGAAGAGCTGCAGAAGCAGCAGCAGAAGGCGGTGGTGGGGGGGGGCCTAGGGGACCCCGGGGTGAGTGGGGTGCGGGTGCAGTTCGCAGGAACCCGAGACTACATTTGCCCCTGGTTAAGGAGGGGGTGTGTGGATGCCCACCTCATGCCTTTGAAGGCTGCGATTTGAACCAAGGGGACCCTGCGAAAAGCCGGTGTCTAGCCCTTGCTGGGTCCCAAGGCCTTAGACCGTCAGCCAGATGGTTGGGGATGTGGACACCCCACCCTGACCCCAACCTATATGTCTGTGTGGAGTTTCCTGGGGCCACCCTGGACCCCAGTGGGAGAGAAGGTGATGTCAATGAGGAGACATTCTTGGGGTGGCAAAGGGCAGGGCTGCAAAACCTTCCCACATGGCCTGCGAGTGCTATCGACCACCCCTGACCTAAGGGAGGGTGTGAAACTGGAAGGGCCTGGTGTAACTCCTACCAAGGAAGGGGAGAGATGCTGGGGCATCCATGGGAACGTTGGTGGCTGAACTTCCCAGGTCACCGGCTAAAGTGACGCCAGTTCGATCTCGAAGGGGGAGAGATGTGAGAAGTGGGACTGTTCTTAATGTTTCCTCTGAATAGTGTGGGGGTGCCTCAGTTTCCCTAGGCAGTTCTTAAGTATTAGGGGGTGGAGTAAGGGTGTATGATCATTGCAGAGCCCTAGAGGGCAGGTGTGTGCAGGGGTCTGGAACAGAGAATGGCCAACACCCTGTTTCCTGGCAACTGAGGCCTGGGCCCTTCCCCCTGCAAGGTGAGAGCTGAAGGGTTGGAGAACAAAGGAATCAGGTGACCACCTGGCCCGGGAAAGGAACAAAGCCCAGAGGAGGAGGGGCTGGAGGGGTTTTCAGTTTGGGGCGGCTGGGACATGGAGTGAAGTGCAGACGGGGTTGTCTGGCTACTGCCCCCAAAATGGACCCAGCTGAGGGGTCCCGTCTCTGCACCTGCAAGCTCTGTTTTAGACCATGTTCCTGTCGTCTAATAAACCTTCTGTTTTACTGGCTGGCTGAGAGTCACGTCTGACTGCGAGTTGGGGTGCAGGACCCTCTGGCTTCCCAGGAGCCCCGCCTGAGCGGACTCGCTGGGGGAAGGCACGGAGGGGCAGAGGATGTGAATGCTCCGAGGTCAGACCCAGGAAGGTGGAAGCTGTGTGAGCTGTGTGTCCTGAAGACAGGCTGCTCACAGAAAGGCAACTGCCCCAGAGTCCTGACTGGCTTCATGGGGAGCAGTTCCAGAGCATGCCCAGGGACTCCGTGACACTGGCTGGCTGAGAGTCACGTCTGACTGCAAGTTGGGGTGCAGGACCCTCTGGCTTCCCAGGAGCCCGCCTGAGCGACTCGCTGGGGGAAGCGACGGAGGGGCAGAGGATGTGAATACTCCAATCAGACCAGAAGGTGGAAGCGTGTGTCCTGAAGACAGGCTGCTCACAGAAAGGCAACTGCCCCAGAGTCCTGACTGGCTTCATGGGGAGCAGTTCCAGAGCATCGCCCAGGGACTCCGTGACACCATCTGCCATCGCTAGCCTCAGCCTGAGATTTCCAGCACGTTTGGCCCTGTGTTTGTACAGCTCCGAGCACAGCAGGGTCGCGGTCCGTGACTGGGGCTCTGGGACTCTATGGCAATACAAAGGCTGCGTTAGAATCATTCGTGATAACACTGCGGGGACCTGCTCGCCGGGGCTGGTGTCTTAGGGAGAGTCAGGAGCAGGCCCCGTTTCGCAGACTGTAGCCGAGGAACGTGGCTGGCGGAGAGACGGGTCAGTTGGGGGAAATGGCTGATGGGCGGGGCGCAGCGAGGGCCCTCCCTGCAGCGGGGCGCGGGAGGGAGCTGCCACATGTTCTCTGCACCTGGAGAGCCCTCGCTGGCTGGCTTGGCTCTGGAATGTAAGCTGGGCCCCGGGGCCGGCGCTGCTCAGGGCGAGCGTCCATCCTTCAGACGATCCAGCCAAACCTCCATGGGTGGGGAGGAGAACGAAGCAGGCTAGCTGCAGAGATGAGCTGCCCAATTGCACTGGAGAAGCAGGTGGCACGGAAGGCCTGGCACGGACCTGGGCGGCCAGCCCAGACGCTGAGAGGGGGAGGGGAGCACCAGCTGGCACCAGACAGAAGGTCGGAAGGGACCTGGTGGTTTTGCCATCCATCAGCTAGTCAATGCGCGGCCCCCACCGGGCCCGGGCCCAGCGTCATCAGCCTGTGGGGAGATTTCAGCGAGGCTGTGAATCCAGAGCTGTGTGCAGAGGAATCTCCCGGCGCCGCCTCGGCCTCGGGGGGGCGGGAGGGGGGCGCTTGGATTCCTCAGCAAGGGTCAGAAGTTTAGCATGACTGAGCCGATGCCAAACGGGCCGTGAGAGCGGCGGAGGCATCCCAGGAATGGCTCAGGAGAGGTTATCCCAGTGCCATCATCCAGCGTCCGCGTCGGCCACGCTCCAGGCAGCTGCTTGGCCCGGCGCTGCGGGAAGTGCCCAGTGCCTGGCGCTGCCTAGGGGACGCGCCGCTGAACGCAAACATCACAGGAATCCAGCTGCAACCTCGCCGGGGCAGGAGGGTGGTGTTCTGGGTGTCTGCACAGAGTGACGCAGGTTTGCTCCGTGCTCCGGGGAGGATCGGGGCCAGGGGAGGCCAGCTGACGTGGTAGGGCATCCCCAAAGATCGTGGTCACCGCAGGCCCCCCAGCTCCCTAAGGTGTCACTTACCTTCCTGACTGGGGTCCCCGAGCTGCTTTGGCCCTTCAGCTCTGGTGCTGAGCCCTCGCCATGACCTGGGACAGGGACGCCTGGACTGGCAGAGCTGCGTGTGACAGCTGAAAAGAAGGCACAGGGCTGGCTAGTAGCCTCTGAGGTGCTAGTACCCCGGGGCGCTGGTTAGTTGATCTGGTTGGTGTGTGACGCACACTCCCCAGATGGGTTGGAAGCAGCCCTACCCCACACTGTGCCCCCCAGTCCTGCTACCTTGTCACGGAGGCCACCGGGAAGATGCTGTGCAAGACTCAAAGGGGAAAACTCCAAGATCAGCGTGGTGAGGCTTGCCAGCCCCTTTCTTGCTGGAAATGCTCGTTTCTGGCCGATCTCTGGCCTGTCCTACCTGTCCCTGCACCTGAAGCATGCTCTGTCCCCAGGGCAGGAGGGGGGCTCGACTGGGTGCACGGCAGTGCATTCAGACTGGCTGCATTAGCCTCCCTCCAGCACTCCCCTGCTTTGCCTCTGGCATGTTCTGTGTTGGAGGCGTGGGTCGGACTCTGTAGGAAAAGGTTGCCATCGTGTCCATTTCCCGCAGTTCCCCTGCCGGGGGCAGAGCGTGGGTAAAATCCCGGCCAGGCCGAAGACAAGGAAATGCGGCCTAAGTGACTTCCCTAAGGGCCAGGATCCCCCCGGGGTCTGTGACCTGCCCCCTCCCCCCCACGGGTGGGCTGCACAGCCACAGACGGAGATGAGTGAGCGCCTAGACCTCCGGTTGCGGCTGTGAGTCCAGAGCCTTTACGGAGACCTGGGGCAGGTCCCGTCAAATCAGGCCCATGCCAGCGGCTCGGCAGAACAATCGGTTCCAGCATTCACGGTGCCCTCCCTCTGGCGCTGGGTCCATCAGTGCCTGGCTCGGGGCGTCTCCAGCCCTTCCAATGCCGGGGCGGGGTGCGAGTCACTGACCCACGAGGGCGCTGCCGGAGGCACAGGGCGATCGGCAAGGGGACGCACAGCGGTGTGAAAGCTGGACGAGCGGCGTGAGCTCTCTACTGTGCCCCAGAGGCCAGGTGGGCTCCTGCTGCGGCCGGGTTCCCTGTGGGCCTCCGGAGACGGGTCGATTTGTGTCCAGCAGGAGTTGTGAGCCCCCCTTTCGGGGAACAGACTGCGAGTTTCTGCCCAGGACGTGTGGGTGATGCACTTTTGCTGTGATGCCTTTCCCCAGGGTGTGTGGAGTGTGGACCCAGGGGAGGTCCACGCTGAGTCTCCCAGCATCGCCCCCGGCGCCAGGCCTGTGTCCAGCGCAGGAATTTGCTCCTGTCAATAAAGGTTCGTGGAGCTCAGCTGTGGCTGGAGCTTTTTTTTTTTTTAATGTAATTGTCAATTACTCTCCTGGCTGCCCTTTGAGGGGACCCC